GGCACTTCCCAGGCATCCTCTTGGTCTTCCAGGACATAACCAGGGAGACAGCAAGCACGATGCACAAACAGCAAATCCTGCGTCGAGACACAGATGAAGAACGTGCCGCTCGAGTCCACGGAGGTCCAGGCATGGGGCTTCGCTTCCCAGGCTGGTCTGCTTGGTCAGGCCTAACTGCGCACAGCACTGCCTGCAACTAACACAGTAGGCAGGGAGTGCAAGTTGGCAGAAGTGACATGGGCCAGTCGCCTGCGCTTTAGGATTTCCTCACGTTGAAGGACTTGATTTAGGGCTCAGCCGTAAATGTTGTACTAACGCTGGTTATTTGCATTTACGTAGTTCTAAACCTGTTAACAGACCCTGTGCTTGATCTCAATTACTCTTCCACCTCTGGATAGTCTCTTTACCAGTAAAATTTCATACAAGAATAAACATTAGGAGGACATTATAGTTGGAAAGTGAAGAAAAAATAGCACAGAAAAGCAGAGACCATTCTGCCAGGAGCTCTTGACAGCCCAGGAGGAGATTAAGTGCTCCAGAGCTTCCAGTAACCAACTTCCAAAACTTTGATCAAATCCCAATATATTTTCCAGGGGACAAAGAAAAAAAAAAAGTTTCTAATTGAGGACAAAACTTCTGCTTCTAGGCAATCTTTGCACCAAATCTCTGAAGATTTACAGCTCTTAGAGAAAAAATTTTTAATATTGACAAAACAAATACAGAATCACAGAGTCACAGAATAGCTGAGGCTGGAAAGGACCTCTGGAGGTCGTCTTGTCCAACCCCCCTGCTTAAGCAGGGCCACCCAGAGCTAGTTGCCCTGGACTGTGTCTGGACAGTTTTTGATTACCTCTGAGCAGCGAGACTGCACAACCTCTCCAGGCACATATGACATCATAGTTGCATACATGCTCCACAAAAAGTAAGCCTTAGGTGGACATAAGGCAGCTGCAAAGTCTGACAACATTCTGTGCCTCTGAAAACAGGGTTTGCAATGGGAACACATGCAACCTAAAATAAAACCAACTCTGACTACAGTAAAGATGCCTTCTTTAATGGTTTAAATACCAGGATACAATCATCCATTGAACTCAAGAGTCCCATGGGTTTCACAAATATAAGCTCCTTCCCCATTCTTACTTTATTTAGCTCCACGTTGTACTGTCTATATGTACTTTGGAGGTTATTTCGAATCATCATCACAGTGCTGCCTATGTGTATTTTATCCACATACAGGGCAGTGTGAGATATTTTATCTTTTTTTTCTCCTCCTCCCCTTTATCTACTTCTTGTCTGCCCCTGGGTCAGGACTGTGTATCTAGTGGACATTAATTAGCACACTCACTCACCTTGGCGGAGCTCAGGTCACAAGGAAACTGTGGACCACCTGCTTTGAACTCTAAACACAGGCCATTTGGTTTTACCCAGACGCTCCTGGCGTAAAACAACAAATCATTCAGGTCTCCAAAGCTCACGTCCTCTGAAGATTAACTTATGCACTGGCAGAGAAATGCAAATTTTGAGGTACTCCCTCTCCAGCTGCCCAAAGCATGTATTAGATGAGAGATGCCCAGTGGATCCCAGTAACAGTGCCATCCCTAGCCCCAAAGGTGGCAAAACTGCAAAGTCTCTGCCAATTTGATGCAGGGCAGATTCTTTACTGACCCCAAATCCAGTACTCTGCATTACAGAGGGATATGAGCAGGTCACTTCAGAGGATTTTTATCATGTCAGTGCACTTACCGTGGCAACTGCATTGTTAGCTGCAATCAGGCTTGGATGCATCAGAGTGAGTTGAAAAAATTCCTCAGAAAACCTCTTACCATTTGTGTACCAGGAGAAAAAAAACACCTTTCTGACCAATGCAGACAACCACCCAAAGCCAAGACACAAAGAATCGATTAAGGTTGCTGTCTTAATGCTGAGCCCCATGCTGATGCATGTGCTCTGGGTAGCACGGTAGCGCTGTTCTGCTCAGGGGCCCAGAGGGAAGACAGTGAACAGGGGATCTCGGATTCACAGATTTCTACATGAGAAAAGACCACCGTATCCATCCAGTTTGATCCCCTGCACACATGCACGCAGTGACACACACATGAGCTGGATTGAAGCATATCTTGTAGAAAGATAACTAATCTCATTTTAAAGGCTTCAAGCAGTGCTAAGTCCACCAGCTCTCCAGATAAACTATTCCAACATTTAATTACCCTCCCTGCTAGGGAACCACATCTCCTCTCAAGTTTAAATTGCTCTAACTTCAGCCTCCACGCACTCCCTCTCCTCAAGCTTTGTCAACCAGACTGAAAGACCTCGCACAGTGCTCACTTCTACGCACTGGTTTTCCAAGCAGCAGTAATCAGTAATCAAGTCACATCTCAATCTGCTCTTGTGAGCCCAACAGGACTGCGATGAGTGTTGAAAGCAGGATACAGGGTTACATGGGCATTTGCTTTGACACCACCATAAGCTTTTCTGTGGTTTGTCTTTGAGTTCTTCCTACAGCTCTGATAATCTTCTCTAAGTAGGAGCTCAGACAAAGCACCCTAGAAATGCACACCTGAGAAGTGCCTCCGTACAGAGGCAGGAATTGTTACCACACTTGGGCATGCTGACGGTGTACAGTGGTGGTGAAGAAAGGACAGTGTACAGTGGAGAGCTGTGGCAGAAAACAGGCAGAGTCGCACACCCTTGGTCAAAAAAGACAGTAATTGCAATCATTCACTGGCAGTTTATCTGGTCTGCAGACTAATTCTGACTCTACAGAAACAGCAGTTTGGGTTCAGAAGGGCTTATTATTTCACACTTGGCACCATGCGAACACAGCAATGTTAGCATGCCCCATTCCCTATGTTATGTGTGATGCTGAGGAGCCCAGCCAGCTCCTGCCATTCAATCCAGCTGCACCCCATCTCATGAGTCCTCAGCTCCAGAAAGCTGTGAAGCACAGGGCTGACAACACGCTGACCACAGGACACAACCAGCGTGCAGAGCAGGACTGAACAGAAACGAGGATGTGGTCACCCAAGTTCACTCTCAGTGGCACAGTGTGCAGTACCAGATTATGAAGGATTTCTGTTAGCAGCATTATCAGCACTCACTTGTTATGCCGAAGAGTGGAGAGGTACCCATACCCTGCTGTACTAGACTACTGCCAACAGCTGGCTGGGAAGAATGTGTGTGGAAACTGCCTATCCTGGCCAAGGATACCAACCCCAAGGACAAAGTAAAGGCATGTCAATGCCTGGGGAAACTTGGGCAGGAAAGCTCTAAGTTCAACAGCTCCCGTGGGCAGGGCAAGATACCTCCTGTAGCAAGAGAAGCAGTAAGCAGTGTGGCCTGAACTCCGTGAGAAACCAGAGAGCCTCCCAACCTAACTTCCTCTCACCACTCTCTGCGGCAGCTGTGCCTCTTGAATGTGCACACAGAAGAGTAACAATTAAAAAACAAGCCCCTTGTTACTATTTCTCCAGGGGAAAGTGAGGAGGAAAAAAGAGGCCACAAAAAAGGAAAGAAACAGAAGAGAACTTGCCAGGGATCAAGACACATCCCTGGTTGAGATTTCTTTTTTTTTGGGGGAGCAACAGCTTCCCCTACATCCAGCAACTCATCAGACTCAAGTGTTACCTCTCAGGGAGTTCATGCCACTAGTTAAAGCCCTTCTACTCTTTCTTCTGTCCTGGACACTAACCAGGGATAAAATCCCAACAAGAGCTTACCTGAGACCTGCACAGAAATGCCAACACCCACCGAAGGCACTCACGAAGAGTGGTGAAAGCAAGAAACTCCAGAACAGCTTTTTTGCTTCCGGCTCAGCAAAGCAAGGCACTGCTGATGCACTGGAGGGAAGGCTGGCCGCCAGCTCTGTGGCACCCACACCAACTCTTACCTGTGCCTCCTGTCAGCTGTGTGCTGCTCCTCTCCTTTGAGAGCCCGTTGGCTTTGGGGCTAGCGCTGGGTGCTGCTGCCGTTGTTGCCCTGGGTAGCCGCTTGCCTGGTACCTTCACTGTAGTTCTCAGCAGATCGATTTCCTTCCCATGGACGTTCTGCATGTAATCCTACAGCAGAGAGGCAGAATGGTTCAGGATCAGCCCTGCCCTGGCCCAGCACTCTCAGCTCCCCTCTCATTCACATACTCAAAACTAAAACCTGGATCCACTCATCCACATGGTAACTGGTTAACAGACAGATGGTCAGCCAGCAACTTGGAGATGATTTGGGAGCTCATCACATGCTGGTTTCTCTTGCACTATACTGAAGTCTCAAGTCAGGTGGGCTAGAGGTAAAAGACCCTACGATTTCCCCAGTGTCCACAGCCAGCCATTTTCTGACAACACGGATGCAAAGCTTTGACTCCAACCTGCCTTCTTCCCATGACTAGCCGGTGCGTTAGAATTGGCACCAGAGAAGTGCCAGGTCTCACTTTCAGAGCCCAGAACTAGTCAGCTCTGATATGAATAATGTTGGAATGTTGCCATGGGCAGTCAGATGCCATGACAAGCCCATTTGTGAAAGCCTGGCTGGGGATCAGAGATTAGAAAGAGCAAAAGAGCACATAGGTGGCAGGCAGTTCTTCTTCCCTGTCATCCGTTGTCTTTTTAATCACATCACTCAGCTATAACAGCTAATAATATAATATAGTATGGTGTAAGTAATGGGATACCTGGAAATTCCCTCTCAGGCCACAGCTAGCGTAATTCAAGCCCAAAACAACACGACTCAGGATAACTCCCTTGTACATTCATCTGCACAGCTTTATGTTATTCAGAACTTGGTGCTTCCACCATTTCTTCTGATAGACTATTTATTGTACGACCAAAAACTCCACGTGCAGACTGTTAACATCATTCTGCACTGCCTCCTAATAGCATCTCATCTTTCAGTCAAAATAAGGCTGCAGACCTCTAGCCTCTCCTGAGAGCTGTGTCCTGTCCCATGTCTTCCATGCCTTCCCTGTTCCACAGGGCACTGCAGCTTTCCCCTAATCCTCTCTGATGCGGCTGGCTCTTCCTTGGGCTCATGCCCCACAAAGACACAACCAATGTGATCTCCAGAGAGAGATCTGCCCTGCTCTTGGGCAGACCTCAAGGGAGCAGGGACTGAAAGCTGAGCTAGAGACTCTGGGAGGAATCGCGACGCGGGCATATCCGCCCCTGGCTCTCTGTACTGGGGATGTGCACTGCAGTTGGGAGAGGAGTGGCAGCAACCGTCCAGGGTGAGACTGCGGCTGCTGCACGGAGGCTTGGGCTTGCTCCAGTTCACAAGGAGGTCACCAAAAAGATTAACTCAGAGCTGGTTCCTGTTTGCTTCCAAATCCAAGAAGATAAAGATGTGAACAAGATCAGTCTAAGACCAACCATTCTCCCAGTCCTTGGCTCCAAGAAGCGGGTGAATGGGGGCTGTATGAGCAATGCTCTGTGGTCTCAGGTGACTACCTGCAAGGGTTACAACCTCTCAGCAGCACCTCAACACCTTGGTTTGAACTCTTCTCTTTCCACAGACCCCTGGGCAGGCATCCAGTCCTCAGAGCAAACCCAAGAGATGGGGCAGCATGGCAGCACACCCTTCTGTGCTTCCAACTTCTGGGTGACTTGACCTCAAATGACACGCACACACCCTTTGGTGGCCCAGGCAATTCCTAGATAATCAGCCCAACCAAACATTGCTTCAAGCTGTTCCTGGTTGGGTGGGAGCCTGGTGGCACCCCTGGGCAGGGAATCTCAGAGGGGCTGGAGGATTTTCCCTAACTCAGCACAATTGCTGCAGTAGCCGGCTGCCTGCCGGAGAGAGCGGTCACCAGCGCACTGCTTTTATTACATGCTATAAAACAGCAATTTCTTCCCAAGCCTCCTCGCTAATTACCCAGCCAGTTCTCTCATTTCATTTTATTACTGGAATTAACAACGAGTTCAAAGCGTGGAAAGCTATTAAGATGTGTGATTAAGCCACATTCAATTAGTTTCTACAAACAATTTAATTGATGTTGCAGATAGAATTAACAGAAGGTGATTGTGTGAATGGCTCCACTGGCTGCAAAATGGGAGATGCTTTCTCTAGCTCTCTGCAGCACGGCACAGCCTGGCCAGTGAAGCTGGGCTGAACCACATACTCCTTCCTCACGAGCAGAAGCGTTTACTCTCCAAGGCTTTGAGAAAATGATAGGAAACCGCACCAGTCTCTTCATAGAACTTGTTCTTTTCCTGTCACTGAACACACTCACAGAAAGGTAAGAAAAATACAGATGCAACAAGGAAAGCTGTGCTGGATCCAGGGATCAGACCCCCAAGCACTCCTGCCTTCGGCAAGAGCTGTTGCCCACTGCTCCAACTCCAGGTGTCCTGCTTGCAAAGTCTCTGAAACCACTGACTATTCCAGAGAGGAGGCAGAGGTGGCACCTGAGAGCAGGAACGCACAGCTCCATAGGACCCAAGCATAGGTCCAAACAGATATGCTTCCATCAAGGAGTCACAGAACACTTGATTTCAGGGCTGGACCCAGCCTACCTGAGTGCTCTCTGTCAACCTATGACTGCAAACCCACAGTTTAAGCCTGACTCCCAGTGAGGAAACTTCAAAGTGGGGCTTGAGGTGCCAAGATACAGATCCAGAAACAGGTTGAGTGATAAACACCCAAAAGCAGATGAATAGCCCCACCAGGAAGCTTTTGGTTGGTAAAATCAGAAATATGACCCAGCCAGAGCCATGCAGTAATTTTCATCTGATGGGGCACAGACACACCTGGAACAGATACGTCTACTGGAGGAAAAAGAAGAAAGGCAGGGCTGCTGACCCATGGGGTACCTACACCCATCCCCAAGAGGGACGGGGAGAACATAACAGAGATGCAAGAGAAGAGAAGTCTAGGCAGGAATTGCTCCGACTCATGCCAAGGAAAAGCCATTGGGAACACAAAAGCAGCACAAAAATGCTCTGGGGCTTGAACATCCTGACAGGGGCTGGGAAAGACCCTCTTCCCACAGTGCTCAGCCATGCCCCTCAGGGACCCCTCTGCTGCACCCTGAATTCTGCCATCCCCCAGACATGTGGCAGTACAGGCTCACCCTGAGCGAGGCAGGGGAGAAGCTGGGACTTCACATCTCAAGGAAGGAACTTCAGGATGCCAAGTGTCTCCTTGACTGAGGATCCTGCATACTTGTTCTTGCCAGCAGCTTACCTCACCACGTGCCTGCTGGCCTGAGAGCTGCTGTCACAAATGGAGGTGACAAAGAAGCATGTTCCCTTTCCTCAGGAACACAGGTTTCGTTAGTGACCCAGGCTGTTCAACCCTAACATGCTTTGCTTGTGTCATCCTGTGAGAAGACATGGGAACTTGCTTCATGCCACAGGAGACAAACCCAGTGATAAATGCACTGTAGCATCTCCCGATTCACTCTACAAGATGGGGAGGAGAGGATATAATGCGACATCCTCTTCTGGACCACCTCTTTCTCCAGGCTTCCTTTCTGCATCCGTCCCCTCCAAGCAGGTCATAAACCACATATCCAGAGAGAAGGCAAGGGAAGGCAGAGGGGCCTTTGCTAATCAGAACAGCACACTGTTCACCAATGCCTTTGTCAGCATTGCAGTAAAAAATGTAACACGATGGTAGGTGTCATGGCTCTTTTCCCCAATTCTCAGAGAGGTAATGCCACGGAAGGAGCATGCAGACCCCCCCATCCTTGCAGAAGTCAGAGCTGGGCAGCACGCAGCTCTGTGTTCTGTGGCCCACATGTAATTAGTCCTTGCTCTAGGTAAACATATAGGACAATACAACACCTATCTTGGGTGCAAGGTTCAAAGCTTTCAATGAAACCTAGGGGAGGAGAGGCCCATCTTGTACCTTTCTTAGCAACGGGCTGTGGATCACCAGTAGCACCAGGTGGAAGCAAACCAGATTTTTGCTTGGGGCAACATAGTAATGAAATGAAACTCTGAAGAAGTGCAGTAAGGAAAGCAAGTGATATCAATCTAGCTCACCCCCTGAGGAAGAAATGGTGTAAAAAGGAGAGAAACCTAGTGTGTAGCAGCAGCATCTGAGAGCGGTTAAACAACATCCCCCAAATTACTCTGCCTCTACAGCTGATTGTAATAATGGCCTATGATGTCTCTGATGGAATTGTGATAAACCCCCACACACATGTGAGCTCACATGCAGAGAAGGCAGCAGCAGCAGCCATTCTCTCCCAGTTTGGCTTTATGAAGACCAAAAAATGGGGTTACAAAGTTAGAGAACTGCAGAACCAGACAGTATGGTGCAGGGATCAAAGACTAAAAAGAAAAAAACCTGTTCTCAAAGCTCCCACAAATTAAGGGAAGGAAATGCAATGAATGGCCTTCCAGTGTAAGGATAGGAGGGTTAAAAGGCTCAGTGGCTCAGGAGCCGGACAACTGAGCTTTGGAAGCCCATGAGTTAGAGACACAGGGTTAGAAATGAGGAGGAAGACTCTTGAGGCTCAGGGCACTCCAACACCTGTGTGTCTGAGGAGACTGGGGATAAATTGAGGGCCCGGGAGCATTCAGAAAGCACAGAAGCTGCAACACTTTGCTCTTCTCCCTTTAGCCTCGGAGAGTGCTCCAGCACCCTGAGCCCAAGCTCTACCCTGCGCTCCCCAGCCCTGTCAGGCTGTCCTGCTGCAGCACGTCCTCTCTGCAGAGGGTGCTGTGGCCTCAGTGTCACAGGTGTGTCTGTCCGTGGCTCACTGTCTCAGCAGCAAACTGTGCTCAAGAGGGAATGGGGAAGAAGTCATTAGCCCCACAGTGGGGAGGTGACAGAGATCGATGGGGAGACAGCTGTGCGCCTGAGCCAAGCAGTGAAGAGGATCAGAGATGCATCGAGTGACAGCTCAGCTCGGCAGGCTCTGCACAGGCACCTCATCTCCATTACCCAATATCTAGCAGCCAGGAAAATTATTCCACACCCAAATGGCACCATCAGCCGTGGCTGCAAGGAGTTCTCTGCCTGCTCCTCACCCCAGACACAGGGAGGCAGCAACCCCTGCTTTAATGGACTGAGCAAGGGAAACAGAGAAAAGAAAGATGCATTTACTTAGCATAATTCTGTGCAGAGCTTGTTCCTATCAGCTTTTCCCACCCAGCCTGGCACTGCAGAGACAGCCTTCATGAGACGGAAGAGGTTTCCTCCAGACTCTGGTAAAAAACAGCTCTGCTGAATACGCCTGCCCTGTTGAGGGCTGGTGCTGAACCTCCTGTGCAGGGCCCTGCTGCAGGCAGAGACTGGGGCTTTCGTCTGCTGCCAAACCCTTCCTGAGCAACTCTCTGCGACTATGGTATCTGCAAGAGGACCTGCAGCAGCAGCCATAGCATGAAGGAGGACACTGCTCTGTCCCACCCCGCTCCTCTACCCAACCCAGCACAGTACTTACATGCAGGCTGGGGTGGTAGGTGAGGACTCCGTTGTCACACAGCGTCACATACTTCTTCTTCCACTCCTTGTTGAGAGACTTGCCACTGCGTTTGAGGAGTATGCCCTAAAAGAGACATGTCAAGAGTCTTAGACCTTGTTTGGCCCAGGCACCTCCCGCTCAGCTCCAGCATTGCCCCTTGTAGGAGACTGGTCTTTGAAGAGACACAAAGATCAGGACTCAAGAAAATATCTTCTAGGCTGGCCTTCCCAACAGCATTTTCCCTGGGACTGGTAGGAAAAGGGCTGCACCCCTTTCCTCACCAACCCCAGCATGTCTCCACAGACAGCCCCCCCCCATTCTCAGAGACGAGGGTCTCCACATGCCAGTACTGATGCCCAGATCCTCTGAGGGACCTATCACATACTCTGCTGTCCCAAATCACTCCCTCTGGGCAACTCTTCTTGTGCTGAAGAACAGTGCCAACACAAGGCAGAAGCCAGCCTCACCACCAACCAACCCTGCTTGCTCTGTTACCACAGTGCTCCCAGACCTTCTTCCATCACCAAAAGCACAGCCAGAGGGATGGTCAAGGCAAGGACAATTTGGGACAAGCAGGGGTCAATCAATGGAACAACACTCCAAGATACAGGTCTCACAAGGCATGCATATTCTCTTGCCTGCTTGCAATTCTTTCTTAGAGATGTCAAACAAATGGAGCTAGGGACACGTTTCAGGAGGTAGAGCAGGTCCTGGGCAGTTGAGGCACTGGTTCACGCCCCTTCCCCATCAGGATTTTACATGAGACCCATTCTGTGGTCTTCAGGCACAGCACACTCCTAGGGCCTGAAAACGATTGTGCTCACATGCCCTGAAGCTCACTCTTCCCACCAGCCCAACCCAGAACTAACCCAGAAATAACTTCCATTGATCTGAACCAACACTCAGAGCCTGGACTCTCCTAACCCTCTCCCCATCCAGTTCTGCCTCCCCAGGAAATCTGCTTCTAGCAGCAATTCATCATGCACCAGGTATACAATCAATCATAGAATCATTAAGGTTGGAAAAGACCTCTAAGATCATCGAGTCCAAC